GAGGAGGGGAGAGAGGAGGGGAGAGGGGGGAGGGGAGAGAGAGGTTAGGAGTCTCCTTTCCTCTCCAGAGGCGAGTCCAAAAGTGACGACAGTTCTGGGCTTCGCAACCACGACCCCTCCGATCCCTGTGACTGTTGACACTTTTGAGACGCGAAGACCCGAGACGAGTCCATAAGTGACGACAGATCTGGGCTTCGCAACCACGACCCCCCCGATCCCTGTGACTGTTGAGACGCGAAGACCCGAGGCAAGTCCAAAAGTGACGACAGTTCTGGGCTTCACGAGCACGACCCCCCCGATCCCTGTGACTGTTGACACTTTCGAGACGCAAAGACGCGAGACGAGTCCAAAAGTGACGACAGTTCTGCGTTTCGCGACCACGACCCTTCCGATCCCTGTGACTGTTGACACTTTTGAAACGCAAAGACGCGAGGCGAGACCAAAATAACGACAGTTCTGGGTTTCGCGAGCACGACCCCCCGATCCCTGTGATTGTTGACACTTTTGAGACACGAAGACCCGAGACGAGTCGAAAAGTGACGACAGTTCTGGGTTTCGCGAGCACGACCCCCCCGATCCCTGTGATTGTTGACACTTTTGGGACGCGAAGACCCGAGATGAGTCGAAAAGTGACGACAGTTCTGGGTTTCGCGAGCACGACCCCCCCGATCCCTGTGATTGTTGACACTTTCCTGGAGAGGCCTCTTCGGCCAAAAAAAAAAGGTAGAACCACACTTTTTTTGCTGAATCGTCGTTTTTCCAACAAAAAGTGATGAATATCACATGCATGCGTGCAAGGGCATACTTTTGCATTAGTGCTTGCACATATGACACAAATATGTATATATATATATGCTATAAGATGTCATATGTACTTGTATTTATACTGAGTGCTTGCTTGCACATATATAGAAATATATTGCCTGCACATACATGTTTTGCAATCTGTCTTGCACTGTTGTGGCTGCAGCTTCTAGGGCTGAGGTGGGGCATGTAATACTTGTCGAATCAGGAATTAATCTTCGCATATACTGTGTTTTCCATATTGCGCTTCGCAGGGTAGACTCTGAATTGCAGCCAATGACCCAAAGGATTTTGCTAGGTAGACATATATAAGCATGATGCAGTGCCTGACACATGTCAACCCGGCTTTTGAAGCTGCAGCTTTCGCGTGTTGCTGGCTTGGTTATTGATTTTGTTTTGCCTGCATGCCTGCGCAATACTGTATACATGCAAGCTGTGCCTGCACATACAGCTTTGGCGCTGTTGCTTGTTGGCTCATACATTACCAATAAGATGGCTAGCAGCAGTGACAAAGCTCCGTGCAGCAGCCAAAAGCAGGAGGCAAGAGCCCGATCCAGGAGCAGAACTCCGCCTCCTAGCCCAAGCAGCAACACCAGCCGAGCCACAGCCTCGCCTGACCCAGCAGGTGACCCGTACCTTGAGTTGCCAAGCTCTGATTTGAGTGACCAGGAACTTGCAGCAGCTTTGACCTCAAGCTTTGGCCCTGCAGCCGCAACCAAGCCACCACCGCCACCACCGTTACCTGCACCTCCTCAACAGCCACTTCGCCCTGTCCCGTTCCCATCATTTTTGCAGAATCCAAATCTGCCATATCCACAGCTGCACACACTGCAACTACACCTTCCAATTCCTCGGCCGCCAAGGGAACCACCGCCGCCAGACCAGCCTTGGGGTGAGTGTTGGCTCCCAGCCCCCGTGACTCTGCCTCAGCCGTGCTTTGTGGGTCCACCTCCGCATTCAAGGCCAAGGCCCAAACCCAAGATTGTGCTTCCCCCGAAGCCCAGTGGCAGCCATCCCAAGTACCCTATAAACAAGCCAGCAGCAGCAGCAGCAGCAGCAACAGTGCCCAGCCAGTCCGCTGTAAGGCAGAAGGCAAGGCCGCTGTCAGCGCAGCAGCATTTGTAGAGTCACACGTATAGCAGGTTCTGCACATGTCTGCAGTTATGTGCCAGGATTATGAGTTTTATGAAACCTGTTCACACATCCATGCCTGTGCATTATTTCAATAATGTCCAACTAGCAAGATTTTAAGATTGCTGCCTATAGCTGA